ATAATGTTATTAACAACTTCAGTATAACAGTTAACAATAAGTTTTTCAAAAAATTTCAAAAAGTAACAGTTTTACAACTTTAATAATGTCGTTAACAAGTTCTGTAACTGTATCAACAACTTTAGTATAGCATCTACTAATAGGTTTTCTTAAAAATTCGAAAAAAATGGCATTTTTATAACTTTAACAACTTTTTTTTTGAAAATTTTTACAATTTCAGTATAATAGTTAACAACTTTTGTATATCTATTAACAACTTTGATATAATAGTTAACAACGAGTTTTTGAGTTTATTAACGGTATTACTGAAGTTGTAAAAATATTATTTTTTGAATATTCCGAAAAACCTGTTGTTAACCGCTATACTGGAGTTGTTAATAACGTTACAAAAGTTGTTAACCGTTATACTGAAGTTGTAAAAATTTTCAAAAAAATTATTTCTGGACACCGGAGCTTGTTGAATTTTTCAAAAAACTTGTTGTTAACCGCTATACTGAAGTTGTTAATAGCGTTACAAAAGTTGTTAACTGTTATACTGAAATTGTAAAAATTTGCAAAAACTTTATTTTTGGCCGCCGGAACTTGTTGAATTTTTCAGAAAACTTGTTGTTAAATATTATATTGAAGTTGTTAATAGCGTCACAAAAGTTGTTAACCGTTATACTGAAATTGTAAAAATTTCCAAAAAAAATTTTCTGACTGACAAAGCTCGGATGACCAATTGTCTGTTAGTCGCCGAAGCTCCGGTGACTGCCGTTGCCGGAGCTCCGGCAACCGGCCGGACAGTGGGGTTGTGATACTTTAAAGACAATATTTAAAAGAAAGGACAATTTGGTCTTTTCATTTGATATAATAATGCCAATTTGGTCTTATGTGACTAAAATGGTATTTTGCAAATTTAGCAGATGTTCTAGTCATTATAAAGTTAAGATAGCATTTTTCTGTCTTTTTCCTTTTAGTTTTACTCTTATACGCTACCAGATTTATTTACGAGCATGGAAACTCAAATTTGTTGAACCTTGTAATCCATGTTCGGCATTACTTTAAACCCAAGATTGGTATATCCTTGCAATAGCCATGGGGAAAAAAAACAGTAGTGAAGAAAAATGAATGGAAAAAAATAATAATATTTATGAGTTAATTAACATTTTTTTTTCCTGGTGAATGAGGGCATAATGAACATCTTTTACCATTAATGGTAATTTGGTAACGAAGAGAAGTTAATAAATGGGTGGCATTGGAGGCTTTTTGGGTATCATGGGGTACCTGGTCCAAGCCCAGTTTTATCATCACGAGAGTTTTACTTTGTTTTTAACTTTTTATACTCTCTCTAAATTTCTCACTGCACCTTTTGGAAAAAATAACATAAGAGGAAGAGGAGAGGAGCGGAGCATCAGAGGTTTTTTTGGAGGGGGGATCCCAGTTGGAGCGAGAGGGAGGAGCAGTGAAGAGGGAAGTTGCGAGACTCTAAAAAGGACTGCAAATGTCGTCCAGCTCCAGTTCTTCACCTTCATTTGTCTTGGTCATCACCGTCGTTCACAGCTGTCGACTCCTCCGCCGTTCAAGGTTCCGTTTACTATTTTGTCTCCCCTGTTCAGCATTGATTTTTTTCTTCTCCTCTGTTACTGCCTTGCCCAGATTGTTGATGTTTCTCTCTTGTTGACTGCTTCAATTTCTGTCTGCCTCCTTGCTCTGTTGTGTGCTAAAAGCGTCAGCCTTCATCCTTGCTTGTCTAAGTGCGCTGATGTGAAAGAAAAGTTTATGACATGTTATTTCAAAACTTACATGCCGGGATCTTTCGTTATAAGGTATTGCTTTTGAGATTTTATCATTAGAAAAAGATCCTTTCCATTTGTTAACGGTAAACTGATCCCATGCATGCTTGGAAATGTTTTTGAGAGGGCTGGCTACAAAATGCTGGTTGCTAACAGCATTACTGTTAGCCCTTAGCGTGCTAGGATTAAGCTCAAGCTCCCTTATTATTCATGACTTAGGTCGCGCTTGTATTTGTGGCTTTGGCTGTGCTTGTTGTTCATGACTTCGATCGCGCTTCTTATTCGTGGCTTCGATTGCACTTGTATTGGTGAGCTATGGTTAACACCGGGCTAGCTTGACATTCGTGGGCACTGTTCCTGGGCTTGTATTCGTGGTTTTGACTACGGTTGATGGTTACTTGCCCTCATAGAATGTGTGTCCACGCTTGTTGCTCATTCTGTTACAATCCTCAACTGAAGAGAGGTTTTCACACTATTTTGTGATTTGGTTTTATAAATGAGTTACTCAATTAGTTTTGGATATCAAAACTGCTTTATATATTTTCTCTTATATTTTAGTGGTTTACTCAGAAATTGGAAGCAACGGTAAACCATTTATTTCATAGAATTAAATATGCATAATTTATATTTTCAACATTTGTTTCTCTTACCTTATTAATGGGATGTTATTCACCAATAAATTATTTTTGGCCTCAGATAGTGTAATTAACCTTGTTCCTCTTTCTTATCACTGAGTTTAATACACTAAGAGTTGAAGCATTGTTTGAAAGATTTCTAAACTAATGTAAAACCTTATGGTTGTTCTTTTTAAATATATATGATTTAGAATTGATAGATACATTGTGGAGGCTATTACATTAATTGTAATATTAGAAATCATACTATAATTATATCAAGTGTTTGATGAGTTGTTTTAAGACTTAAGGAGTGTGAGTTTTCTCATGTTCTGTACCGGTCACCTCTAAATTTCTGGGGTGTGACAATTGACTGTCGCTATTTTATTTATTTACATATGTATCCCCGGGTCGAACCAGCATCTTACTTCTGCTTTCTTGATCCAAATCATTCTGGGTTATCCTTCATAACTGGGATATATTAAAATGATGATTAACAACGCATAGTGACCAGTGTTATTGATGGTACAGTGTGGGTATTGTGGCCATTTTTATGGGATATCCATGTGCAAAGATAAATACAGCTTGTTTCCCTAACGGGACACTTGATCTTTGAATTTATGATTCTCGACTCTCGAGGTTGTTTGTGATATGTGCATCAGCACCTGCTGGATCATACAGATCACAGCGCAGTTTTGAATTAGTGATCGTTCTGAGAGACTTAAATCTGTTTTTAATTGTGTGAACTGTGAAGCCATAATTCATGCAGCTAGCTGAGACAGTGAAAATTAGTCGTCTCAAGTCCTTCAAAGTGTTTTTAATTGAACAATTTAAAACTGAAAAATATGAGGATAGTTTTGTTTACACGATAAGTTAATTGATCGATAGTATATTTACTCGGTAGTGTTTTGTACTTTTCAATATCTTATTTTGATGTGTTTATATGTTATTGAGCTTTACAATTATTCTGTTTCATTTGCTATCAATTAAAAGAAGGGAACAAGACATGAAAAAAATGATAGTTAAATGATGAAATCTTCAAATGGTGACCCAAATAAGCACAGTTTTAGTTTAAACATAGGTGACTAAATTGGGATATATAAATTTGCTGAAATAATCATATCATTCTTTTGTTTTTGGCAAAAAAACAACCCAAATATCCTTGCCAGAGCTTTGTGGTCATTGGGCATTAGAGCTCCAATCTTTGGCGGTCGGTAACTTTTTTTTTTGAGGATTTATTTTAAATCCAATAATGCGACCAACAAGTTATTTAATGTTATTAACAAGTTGAGTATAATTGTTAATAATTAGTTTTTAGAAAATTCAAAAAGTGACTTTTTATGAATTTAGTAACACGGTTAACAAGTTGTGTAATGTTGTTAATAAGTTTGATATGACATTTAATAACAGGTTATTTGAAAAATCGAAAAAGAGGTATTTTTACAACTTTAGTAACCCAATAATTCGGTTAACAAGTCATGTAATAAGTCCTGTAACGATATTAACAACTCTTATAATATTATTAACAACTCTAATAACAAGTCATTGACAAAAATGATAACAAGTCATGTAATGATATTAATAACTTTCATAGTTCTGATTGCTTAATAAATGGGACAATTTTGTTGTACAACTTGCATAGAGAGCTGGTATTAAAAACTTTAACTTTTATATGAAAATTTTATTAAGAGTGCTGTGAGAGTTGTCAATTTAACTTTTAATCATGCTAGTGAAGTTGTAAAAGTGTAATTTTTTAAATTTTTTGAAAAAGCTATTGTTAACTATTATATCTAAAGAACTTATTAATCGAAGATATTGAATGGATCGCTTTGGGGTTGGATGGTTGCCGCGTTTGAAGCCCAACCATAAAGATCCCAGTTTGATCCACTGGCTTGGTATGATGGAAATATGAAATTAAATATCTAAGTTTTGTTTATTTTGAAAGTGATGGAAATAGAGAGAACAACCGTTGATCTTTTGCCTTCCTGTTCCAAAAAAAAACAAGAAGAAGAAGAACCACTAGGACTCAACTTGTGCTCCACTCGGTGGATACACCGTACACGACTAGGGCGGTGAGAGTGTTTTTCTCGTCGGTGGGGTGAGAGTCTTTTGCGGAATCTTCCTCTTTGAAGTAAATAAGTAATGTTTGTCATTTTTCGTGGGTGCCTTTCGGGTCTTGTGGTGTTTTTTAATGTTCCACGCATTTTTTTCGCACGTTATATGATATATATCATATCGCATCTAGAGTAAGCAATGTATTATTTATCAGTTATGAAACATTGATGAGAAAATAATAACTAAAAAACTTTTAAAATTTAAAAAAAAAAAAATTGAGATTGGTTTTAAAATTAGATATCATCTGTACTTGATCAATTTACTGTGACTATTCTTCCCTCCCTTAATTTCTATCACCGCCCCCCATCACCCCATGTATATCCAAATCCCTTTCCATCTTGTATCCTCTGCTTTTCCGCGACGCGTCCGATCCGCGTAAAAGTTTGAGAGGAAGGCAATACCCTCTATATAATAAGCCGCCGTTTCCATTGATCAAGAACCGGGAAGTACCAACGTAGAAGCTTATTATCAAATAGAAAGTGATTTCGGAGAGAGAATGAAGCACCCACGGCATGACCACCCAGTGAGGCTGGAAGGAGACGAACCAAACCCATTTGAGTGCAGTGGATGCAAAGAACCAGGGTGCGGCCCTAGGTACCGATGTGAAAGGGGTTGTCCCTTTGTCCTACACAAGGACTGTTCCAAGGCTTGCCCTGAGTCCCCATCCATAGGCCATCCATTGGTGGATAACAGCAGATTCAAGTTTCTCTGGGAACCTCCCCGCAGACCGAAACGCCTGTTTTGCGTCGCTTGCGGGGGGGCCGTTAAAGGGTTTGTGTATCATGATCGCAAACACGATCTTGTCTTGCACCCTTGTTGCATGAACCTGAAGAGCACCATGTCTGATCCCTCTGAAAAGCTGACTCTGAATCTTGATAACAAGATGCCCTCCAAGTGTGTGAAATGTAAGGAGAAGGTTTTAAAAGTACAGAGCAAAAGGCCGTTCACAGGGTGGTCTTACGTGTCTTCTTGTGAAAAATATTGTTACCATGTCTATTGTGTGAAGAAATTGATTCCGGATGGATGGAAAAGTGGCTCTTTCAATGGTGGTTCCTCTTCTTCTTCGTCTCTGAGGGGAAGAAACTTGTCCACCCATGGGACTGCAAGCTCAAGCTCGATCACATCAGCCAAACGTTCTTCGGCCTTGGCAAGAAGACGCTCGTCGAGATCATCTGTCACTCGTGGGCTGATCAAAGTGGTGAAGATAGGTTTGAGCGTTATAATGTCACTTCTACTTGGAAATCCAACTCCACTGTTTACTGCCGTCGCTGAAAACTGGCTGGGCTGAAGGAAACGGATACAGTTCCAGTATGTGATATATATCTATATAATTTACGTAATGGTATTTTTATACTGCTCGTAATCCTTGAGTTTGTTTGTATTATGTGTGTCGAACTTGGGTTAACTGATGATTGATCCAAGTCTCTGCCGATTGGCTTTATGTCCTCTTGGCACTTGGTTGTACTTTTGCACGGTTTGTTTTCTTTTACTGGATCCTCCAGCCTTTAAATTATAGGTTGAAGTCCAGATTGGTTTCTTTTTGAATTTGTGTTTTATGTGTAAAAGAACATGCTAGGTTTCGAATGTGAGTCTTTAAGAAGAAATATTGATCTTGTACGTAAATCGAACTCTGGATGTGAAAAACTATCTGGACACGAGGTAGTAAAGAGGATCTCTTCTACCTCCGGAGGCGGGGAGAAACGAGTTTCCAGATGTAAAGAACCTGATAATGCCTTTTTGTCTCTCCCCCTCTCTCGATTCTTCGGGGCGGTGAGAGTGTTTTTCTCGTCAGTGGGGTGAGGGTCTTTCGCGGAATCTTCCTCTTCAAAGTGATGTTTATCATTTTTCGCGCGTGCCTTTTGGGTCTTGGTCGCGTCTTTGGTTTTCGTAACAATAATCAGATTGGAGGGCTTCAATGACGGCAAATCACACACAGCGGCTTACAAATAAAACAGTCCGCTTATTAATTAAATAAACAATTTATAAAATAATAAAATTTTAACGGGAATAAATTTGAGCTAGAAGATAAAAAAAAATAAAATAAAATGATGACTATTAATTATAAGGTAGTACAAGTATCAGTATAAACAAATAAAAATGGAAAAATAATTCAAAAGTAATTCAAATTAAAAAATTAAAATGAATTTGATTTTCTTAATTTGGAATAATTAATATTAATAATAAATAATAAAGCAAAAGATATATGACTATTATAAGAACCTGGTATGGAAAAAAAAAACTATAAAGACCTGATGAAAAATCAAGCGCAGCTACAAGGACATAATTAAAAAAAAAAAAACTATATAAACTTAATTTAAATCAAGTGAAACTATAAAGACTTACAAATTATTAATTTTTCCTTATAGGTAAAAGCAAAAGTTGATTCCTTTTTGAAAATACTATCATGATAGAAGAGAAAAATAATGAACACCTTAGCCATATCTTTATGAATTTATTAGTCCTCAGGCCATTCATTTCTTGCAGGCTCCTTGGTAACGACTTGAGAATCAGAACCAGGAAGCATTTCGTCAAGATCCTTCGCAACTCGAGGATCCAGGGAATCATCATCATCACGAAGATGATGCTGGGGGTTTTGGTGAGCCATGAATATAATGATGCTCGTTGACTGAACAAGAAAGGTGGAATCGTAAGGAGCATGAAGCAGATGCTTGAGTCCTTTGTACGGAGCAATGGATTGATTAGTAGCTAAGTGAGTCCGCAAGTAACAGTATATACTGTGAAATTAGCTTGGAAAGAACGCGATCCCACAGGACACGTCAATGGAAGTGGGGTTGAACGCCACATCTAGGAAGATTCTTTTTCCTCTTGACGTGGATCTGGAAATATCTAGTGTCCTCTGGTTTTCCTGAACCAGTTTGGGTGTCTGCACGCTAAGCTTTGGATCTAAAACTTTTAATTAATTATTTTAAAATAAAAAAATTACCTTTTGAAAAAAAAAATAGCAGTTAAGAGATTATCTTTTATTTTAAAATTTTATGCTTATTAAAATAATTGTTTCAGTAATTTAATCAAAAAATAAGAAAAAAAATAAAATACCTTTGTAAACATAAGCTATCATCCGTGAATATTAATGAAAAATTCACTTTTTTGGTACAAGAAGAATTGCTTTTTTTAAAAATGAACAAAAACAAAAAAATGCTTTTATAAACACAAGTTATTAGAAGCAAATGTATGCCATTGAAGTTAAAAAAAGACCTGACTGGATATTTTATTTAGTTCGACACCCTTTATCAACGTCTGCTTATAATTTTCACATGTCCCTTATTTTTTTGTCAAATAATGTTCACATGTCAACATAAAATAAACCATCAAAAGATGAGAGCTTTAAAATGTTGAGAAAGAATTTAGAGGTTAGGTTGTAAAATATAAATTATGTATCCGTCATATTTTAAAATTTCAATTTTCATATAATTATTTTAGAATTTTTTTATTTGAAAAAGCAGCGCTATTATTTAAATGAGAGATAAATAAAATTAAAAATAAAGAGAGAGAGAGAGAGGGGGAGGGAGGGAGTGTGTGTGAGAGAGGATATGCGAAAATAAAACAGAGGGATAAAAATAAATTTTGGGCTGACTTGATCATATATGTTTAAACCCCAAATTTTTTCACATTAATTATAAAAATAAATTTTATAAGAAATTATATAATAAAATAAATTAAAGTTTAGCAACTAAAATTATGGGCACTAAGAAGCAAAGAATCATTTAATTTTTTTTTTAAAAAAATACCATAGGATTATCCAATTTTAATAAATTTTATCTAACACTGTAAATGTAATCAATATTTATAAAAGTTGTGAATGGCCTTAAAAAGTGACTTTGTTACTTGCCGGATACCGGAATCCATCTTTACCCTCAACACTTTGATGTCGATGCTCAGCCTTTCCTGAGATACTTCAAGAAGCGCAGGCCTTTATAAAAAAAAATTGTAAATCACCGTTAATCAAAAACAGTATAATAATAAATATTATTTATTAAGATATGAATAGTTTTATTATATTATTTTAATTATTTCCGGTCTAAATTGCTAACCGTGAAATGCTGCCTTTACTAGCTTATTACCTTAACCAGTTTATTAACCTGCTCAGATTTTTGTACCTTGCCCATATCAATAAGAGTGTGCACGTGAATATTTTTTTGTTATTGCAATATATAATTAATTAAATAAATTCTTATTGACCGGATATAAATATTTGAGCAGCATGCTATCCATTATATCTGTTCCCAAATTAAAATTATATATCTATGTATTACAAAATTCATTCAATAAAAACCTCTCAATATATATATGCTGTCTATCTTTAATTTGAAGTGTGCTAACATTTTATAAATACTCCTCCGATCCTTAATATAGGACCTAATTGTTGAGTTAGTTTTGATCCTAAATATAAGACTCATTTATTATATTTATCAATTTTCTCTAAATTACCCATATGGATACTCCCTCAACCATAATCAAGTAGAAGAGGGGGATGGGGTATTAAGAAAGATGATTATATTGTTTTAGGAAAAACGTGTCACATTTCTTATCATTAACTAACTTACCTAACTTTCTTAATCTAATCAAACTAGTTAAATAGGTCTTATATCAAAAATTAGAAAAGTACCCTTTTTTGTTGCGCGAGCGTCTGAATCTCTCCATCTTCATGAGAGAGTACATCAGGAAAGTTTGAACATAATGGGAAGCTTATATACTCCTCTGATCCTAAATATAAGACCCTTTTTGTAGTGTAAATTACACTATGAAATGGGTCTTATATTTAGGACCGGAAGAGTAATAATAAATGAATAAATTACTCTAATCTTCTTTGCTTTTTATCCTAATTACACGGATCTCTACTTAATTCTATTAAGAGTATTCTGAAAATATATTTAAATAAATTTTATTCACTAATTTCATTGTACTAAATCCTTAATATCGACTAAAATTCTTTTGAAGAATTTAAGATTTTTTTTATTTGATTTTATTTTCTATTTTTGAAAATTAATTATTTTTTAATTTTTTACCATATTAGGCAAAAAATTCAAGTAATTTAATTAAAACAGATATTAAAATCTTGATTAATTTTTTTAATTAATAACACTTGACTAAATATGTTTATATATGTCTGTGGCAAAAAATGTGTTGACAAATTTTAAATTATAAATCTAATTGGTTTACGCAATCTCTCAAACTTATATCATTTATATGACATGATTAAAAAATACGAGTTTAAAAAATATTTTTTAGCCATTATTAGAAAAATGTAATGAAAAATTAAAATCATAAAATTTTGATGACATAATCAAGAATAATAAATATTATAACATATCAGAAAGTTTGAAAATACATGCATTTGAGAATTTTTAAGTTATGTAAAAATTATTTTTGAAAATGTTTAAATAATTCTTGTGTTAAATAAGAATATTTTGCTCAAAACAAAAATTTAAGAGTCAAATTTAATGGTCAATTAACAGTTTAGGTAAATGAAAATAAATTCTAAATTATAAAAAAGAGATTTGTATAACTCATTTTAAATTTAAGAGATACTCACGTACATTTTTAAAATAGGGAAGAAGTTTCCGTGTAAAATAAAATGGTGGTTAATATATTTTGAATGACGACCACCCAATCTGATTTTTCTGATTTTCACCCCAAAAATTATAGGCTTTTATGCTTGAAAGATCTCTCTGCTTCCATTGCTCGCCATTTCCCTCCACTCTCTTTTTCCTTATCCAAATTATTGGTCGGCGTTACGCGTCTCGCTTATTGGCCTCTTCTGAAGACAGTGCGCTCCAACTCTGATCCAATCACACGACCCTGGCAAATCCCTAAAAAGTAAAAATCACTTCACCTCCCCCAGCCGCCCAAAAAATTCCATTTGTGTCCCCATGTGAAATTCCATTTGCCCTATTTACCATTTTAAAGTCTCAAACATAAACATTTTTTGGGGTGACTTAATCATATATATTTAAACCTACAATTTTTTGACATTAATTATGAAAATAAATTTTATAAAAAAAGTATATAATAAAATAAATTAAATTTCCAAACTAAAATTATGGTCTCTATGCAACAAGGAATTCTTTAATCTATATATACAATAAATAAAAATCAAAGTCAAGTTGAGCCATTTTCTTATTTTACTGTGCTATGAACAGAGAACAGTAACAGCTATGTCAACAGTACCAGCTCATGCATGGGGCTCCAAGTTCTTTTGTCATGAGGTTGCATAGATCCGTGGGATGAACTTTTTTCATTTTTAATTTTCTCTCTCCTGCTGGCTAA